CAAACAGCACATAGCGCTGTTTTAGAATCTAGTTTATTTGAAAATTTTAAAAGGGATCTTGTTATTAAAATAATTTTTTATATATAGTTAAAATTATCACTTAATTTTAATTATCAATCTTACTGCAAAATTTTTTCTTCATATTTATTTTTTCTTATGATAATGATAAAGAGATTAGTATTTGTTTAGTTCGTATTTATAAAAAATTTAAAATTGCATAATTTTAATAAAATATTATAAATTAAAATTAAAATAGTTTTGTTCTTATTTTAGGAAGATCTTTTAATTTGTTCAATGACGGATACTGCTAATAAACACTTTTTCCATATACACAAAGATATGAATTGTTTACAAATAAATCAAAAAACCAAAAATATTTTGTAAATTGGAGTAGAGGACTGTTATGGCTGGGGTGACAATCGTAATTTAATTAGTCTACACCTAAGAATTGATCCTTTTCTTTAAAAACCATAAATAAATAAATATATATATATATATATATTAAAAAAAAAGTGATCATCTGCGCTTACGTTGGTTTTTTTTCTCTGAAAATATATATAAATTCCGAAGGAATTATATACCATACACGGATACATCCCACCAGACAAGGGTACAGAGATCGAAGAAATTGAGAAAACGCAGACAATGGTGCTCTCTGTTCCTGCACATGCCAAGAAGCTATGGGACGCATGGAACATCAAAGGAAACATTATTCTAAGCCTTTTCCTGCAGGTCTTGTTAATTCTGTTTGCTCCAATTAGGAAATGGAGAGGTGGGAAATGGGGAAAATGTCTGCACATGTTGATCTGGTTAGCATACTTGATGGCTGATTGGGTTGCCGGAGTTACAATCGGACTCATTTTAAGCAACCGGATGAAAAGTTCTGCTGAAGATGGTGACATCCAGACCTTATGGGCACCCTTTCTCCTGCTACACCTTGGCGGCCCCGACACTATTACTTCCTTCGCTCTCGAAGATAATGAGCTTTGGGTTAGGCACTTGCTTGGGCTCATATTACAGGTCGTTTCTACTGCCTATATCTTCCTGATATCTCTTCCAGACAACAAGCTTTGGCTCCCAACCCTACTAGTGTTAGCCGCAGGAATAATCAAATATGTTGAACGTAACCGTGCGCTTTATCTTGCAAGCTTTGGCAATCTGGGAGATGATTGGCCGCCTAGCGAATGGGGAGATGAACTACCGATTCCATTTGAATTCCAAGAGATGGACAAGATGGAAGATTTTGATGACAGTGAGCAGTCGATATTATGGACTGCAATTCACCACTTTGGAACAATCAAGATGTTGCTTGTTGGCCCTCTTTTATCTCCATATCAATGCTCTGAGATCAGAGAAACCTTTCTCCAAGCAGGAAATATTCCATCTCAACACCAAGAAGAAAAGCCATCTCGACACCAAGAAGTAAATCCATCTCGACTGTTGGAAATAATAGAAATTGAGCTAAGCCTCTTGTATGAGGTTCTTCACACCAAGCTGCCTGTAGTTGGTTGCAAGGTTGGATATATTTTCAGGTTCATTACTATGAGTTGCATCTTGGGAGCCTTGTTGTCATTCTCATTATTTAAGAAGTCTTATAAGTTGGAGCAGTTTGACATGTGGCTAACTTATGGGTTGCTGCTCGGAGCCTTGGTATTGGATTTCATATCTATCATTTATTTGCTCATTTTCTCAGATTGGCTTTTAGTTGCATACGTCCAGATTACCAAATCGAGATTGTTCAAGAAGTGGAGGTGGGCTACGAAATCGAGATTGTTCAAGAAGTGGAGGTGGTCTACAGCAGTTTCCCAGATGAATTTTATTACTTACTATGTTAAAGATTATCCTATTTGGTTGAGAGACTTTGGTGATTTTGTTCGCATAAGGCCTTTGTTGGAAGTCATTAAAGGAATCCGATGTCTGTCTTCTCAAAATTTCAAAGAAGACTCGGACTGGCCTTTCATTTTTTATGAAGTCAGAGAATTGAATGAGTATTTAAATCTTAAAATGGCAGACTCATCTCAGACAGTTCTAGAGGCCAGTCAAGTTTGGAGATATAGCCGTGAACGAGCTCTTAGGTGCTTTGACGATTCTCAGCGGGAGGACATAACCGAGATAATCGAGGAGTTAGATTACACGAAAAGTGTTCTAACTTGGCATATAGCCACTGAATTATGCTTTCTAGAAAAACACCAATCGTCTAACAATCACAGAGCATTATGCAAGATGCTTTCAGATTATATGTTCTACCTTTTGGTAATGCGGCCAGCTGTTATGGCGGCTCTTTCAGTGAGTTGGAAAGCAGTATTTGAAGACACATTGGCAGAGACCGAGATATTGGTACGGAGGAGTTCACCCTCAAATGAAAAGGATGCTAGGACCAAAATCCTTCAACTGATACCACATGTCAGGAATCCAGAGAAGGATAGGAATAGATCGGCGCTATTTGCTGCTTCCGCCCTCGCCAAATGCCTCAAGCAATTAAACGGTAGTTATCCATGGGAGCCAATGAGCAAAGTTTGGGTACAACTAATGTGCTTTGCAGCTATGAATTGCAGGCCACACATCCATGCACAGCAATCTAGTAAGGGTGGAGAACTCCTCACGTTTGTTTGGTTGTTGATGAATCATTTGGGACTGGGGACTCACTTTTCAAGCCATTGCTAAGATTAGTGTTCGGTTATTCCTTTTCAATTCAGCTAAATTAGTCCTGTGTGTGTTTCTCTGTTATCTTTTCTCAGAATTAGTACTTGTTGCCGATCGTCTTAAGCAACCAGTGTATTTTCAAATGCTTGTATCTCAAGTTGAAATTCAGCGGAATTGCTGTTGTCTTTCCCTAATTATCTGATAAAACACACTGATTAATTGCTATTAAGATACAAAATATTATGTGATGGCTGTTGAGAGGAAGAGATATCATTATATATTAGCAATATAGAGGTTTTTAATTTTTTATCTTAATTTTAAATTAAAAATTTTAAATTAATAAATATCAATTTAAACTGTTATTAAGAGAAATATCTTTATTTCAGCAAGGTATAAAGTTCTAGGTATATATTTCTACAAATTTCAGTACTGGAATTAGCTTTCTTCTGCTGCTTTTTAAGTTTATTTCATGTCCTGTTTTATCTTGTACAGTCTCCAATCCTTTCCTCTGGCAGCATATATACCTCAGGTCTCAGGATTTGATAATTGGGGAAGGGGGAGAAATTTAAAAAACACATTGATCCTTTTGTTTTTTTTTTTTTTGGTATTATATTAACAGGAATAAATTAAGAACAACTTAATTTCTACCTGAGTCTTACAGGCTAATAGGAAAAAGTATAAGACTAAGAGCCTGTTTTGTGGAACTTGTTAGAACTTTTGCTTTTTTGGTACTGTTTATGAGTGATAAATTTAAATTTTTATTGGAAAAAAAATTTAAAAGTTACTTTTAAAAATAAGAAAAAGTGAATAAAAAGTGACTAAAAAAAGGGTTTGTAAAAAGTTTGAATTTGAAGTTTTGATCTTTTACTGTTTAAGATCTTTTTAAAGTTAAAAAAAATTTTAAAATATAAGTTTTTAAGAGAAAAATTTAGACTTATGAAATATAAATAATGTTAAAAAGCTGAAACTCTTAGGAGCTACACCAAATAAACATGTGACTACTATAAAGAAATAATATTTATAATAGATATTAGACAATTAGATAAAAAAAAAACTTTAAAATATGCAAACGACATCATAAAAGTAGCAACGGAATTATGTGACACATAAATAGGTTGAAGAGCATGTAGGATGCCAAACACAACAAAAGTTTACTTTGATGCAATGTTATTATAATTAATATTATTTTATATAAATTTATATTTTTTTATATTTAATTTTTAAATAAAATATTTAATAAAATGTACTTTTTCAATGAATACAACAAAACAAAATCTCTTCGCATGAGAGTATGTGGTTCAAGTGGCCATCTATGTAAAAGATAATCTTATCTTAGTAAAAGTGCAGGGTTCAAGTTTTACCCTCATGTTCAAAAAAAAAATTGTACAAAAATTACATTTCAATTATATTATTTAACTTACATTTTATATATTTAAACCATTATTAATAAAAAAAAGTGTCTTATAGATCATTCTTTTAAATTCTTTTAAAATGTTTAGTTTAAAATTTTATTTTTTAATTAATATTTTTGAAAATTAACTATTAAATTAAAAGTTTTATATATGTAAATCATGTATGTTAATTTTTAAATTGTTTTTGTAAGTCTAACCACTTCATTGATTACAGTAAATTTAATATCATTAAATATATATTAATAAATAAAAATTTTTAATAAAAGAATTATAAGTACTAGATTAATATAAAAATTGACATGTATAATCTATATAAATAAAATTTTTAATTCAATGGTTAATTTTTGATAATATTAATTAAAAAATAAATTTTTTAACAGATTCTTAAAAAAAAATTTGGAGTGGCAACACATCCTCTACTATCTTCTAATTATAAATCCACATTATTTGCATTTATAATTTTATAATAAATTATTTTTATTTAATAAATATTTTTTCCATTATTTATAAATGTTTATAGCCGTAGAATTTAAGAAAATATTTTATAATTATTGGACCAATTTCAAAAATAAAGTTTAAAGAAAAAATAATTGAAAATTCATTTTTAAAAAATAAACAAAAGAGCCCAATTGTTCTTTATACAACCATACAACTTAGACTTGGCAAAATTGGATCTAATTCAAATATCTTACTTAATCCATCTGTTATGAGTGGGGTCATATATTTAAGATATTAATTTAGAATTGAATATGTCCCAAACCTAAATTATCTGGATCTAACTAGGTTGGACCAAGGTCAGATTAAGCTAATTCAAAATTATTTGATTAAAATTAATTAATCTTTTTAAGTTTAAAATTTTAATTAATTATATTTTTAAGTTTAATTTTAAAATATAAAATAAAATTAAATATTGTAAGATAATTATTAGTTATTAAATTATTAGAATTAATGTGAATTTAATTAGTTTTTACTAAACAATTAATTAATATTAAATTTTTAAAAATAAAAAAATAAAAAAAATTAATTTTAATTAAAAAAATTAAATTCACTTAATTTAATTTAATTTAAGATCTATGTGGTTGAGCCATAAATTTGCCTTCTTTAACTCAAAATATAAAATGATCTAATTCAGTAAATTCAAAATCTAAAATGACCAATCTAGACCCCCTTGATTCTACTTATTTGCCACGTCTATCTGCAACGCCGTGTGAAGACCTGATTAACAAACACATGCCAGTGCATGTATTAACTAAAGAGCAATTCTAGGGACACTCGCTAATTGCACTCTCCAACGAACACTTCCATTTTTATTGGGCCACGTTATATAGATTTGGAGAGGTTATCGTCTAATATCTCAAGCAAGCTTACGTGGCCCAATAAAAAGGCATGTGTTTGCTGGAGAGTGCAGCAGGCGAGTGCCCATAGTACTGCTCTTAACTAAAAATAAGAGCATGTATACTGGAAGCTTACTTGGGCTTCGGTCAAGGAATAATTTAATTTGTTAAGATGGTTAATAATTATTAAATTTTTATCTTAAATTATATATTAAAAATAATTAATAATTAATAAAATAATTAAAATTTATGATTTAATATATTAAAATTAATTTAGAAGTAATTATTTTTAAATATTATAGTAATTATTTTATAAAAAATTATAAACTAATCAAATTATATATAAATTAATAGTTTTCAAAATTTAAACAGTAACAATAGGGGTGTTCACGGTATGATTTGATTCGGATTTTAATATCTTTTAAACCAATTCAATTTAATCGATCAGTAAAATTTTTAAACCAAACCAATCCATTTTTATATAATATTTAAACCAACCTAACTTAAATCGGATCTGTAGTTCAGTTGGATTAATTGATTTTTAATACTATTAAATATATGAGATAATATAAAATTTTTTAACATTAAATAGAAAATATAACTATAAAATACATTAACATCCAAATTACTAGAAGCATAATAAAATGCACAAATTATAAATAAGTTCTTATACTCATTTACAATTGTAAAGATTAAAAAGATTTGAAAATTCTTCTTGACTATATCACTAGAGGCATCAAGGATAATAAAATATAATTTTAAATTTTAAATACAGTGCAAGTAATTCTTAAAGGTTAAAACTAATTTTTTTCTTTAATGTAGCAAATGATTCAATCTCATCTTCCAAATCTTGTTAAAAGCAATTGAAATTTAACATAAATGTCATTAGGAATGATTAAAAGCATTCATAATTAAAACTTAGAACTTCTTAAATAAAAATCCAAAAATAGTAGAATATCAAAATTAGTTCTATTATATAGTTTTTTTTTTTTGAACTGGTTGACAAGGGGTTGGGTCAAACCCAAGCCTAGGGGGAGCGGGGAGTGCATCGTGAGGTGGCTAATGCCACTTGGCCTGCAGGGCTCGATGCGTTCTATTATATAGTTTTAAGACTTTTAAAATGATATTTTTTAAAATTTAGTTAGGAGAATCAGAATATTATTTTAAGAACAAATTAAAAATTTAGAGTTCTCAAAATAGAGTTATAGACTAGTTATAAGAGATAGATTTACAAGTGAATTGAAAATTTAGAATTAAGGTTACAGTGCACAATTTAAAAAGAAAAATAAATTAGAGAATATAAGGATATTCTATTTTTATTTTTAAATTAAGTTAATAGAGTTATTATCTTATAAAATAAGAAAAAATTTGAAATATTACAAATATATATTGTATTATTTAATTAAATTACTGTGTAATCAGATTTTACTTTGTAATCAGATGGTTCAGAGAGTTTAAAGGTAAAACTACAAACTAAATCAATTACATCGATTTTAAAATTTTATAATCTAAATCAACTAAATTTTATATCAATTTAATTCAATTTTTTATTACATTAAATCAATTTAAATTAAATCAATCAAATTAAATCAGATATTAACCCTTAAGTAACAAATAACCTAACCCACTTACTTGTGCTTTTTCAAAATAGGTTTAAGTACCATTTTGGTCCTTCAAATTTTTATTTTGGTACCAAAATTGTCCCTTAGCTTTAAAAAGTACCAAAATTATCCTTAAACTTTCATTTTCGGTACCAAAATGATCATTCTGTCAGTTAAATGACAGGTGGCACGTTAAAATGACACAAAATCATATTCTTAAAAAAATAATAATTATGTGGAAAACATATCATGCTAAAAGTGACTAAAAGTGATGAGATGGCGGTTTTTTTTTATGTGTTATTTTTTTATTTAAATAAAAATGAATTTATAATTTAAATGAATTTTAAAATAATTAAGTTAATTAACTTTCATTTCATCATCTTCTTCTTTCTCCTCATCCTCAGCCTAATCCTCGGCATCATCATCTCACCGTTTATCTTCTTCATCATTCTCTTCACCATCCTCTTCCTCTTCATCATCTTGATTCCTCATGGAACCCGATGCTGGGTTTTCCTCTTGTTCATCTTGGTTCTTCGCGGAACCTAGATTTGGGTTCGGTGAGGAACCCAACCCGGTGTTGGGTGGCAAAACCTAACCCGGTGCTAGGTTTCTTGAGGAACCCAGTTCCTTGAGGAACTCAATTTTGGGTTCCTGGGTTCCTTGAGGAACCCAGATCTAGGTTTCGTGAGGAACCCAGATCTGGGTTTCGTGAGGAACCTAGTTCTGGGTTTCGTGAAGAACCTAGTTCTGGGTTCCTGGGTTCCTCGAAGAACTTAGGTTTTGGGTTTCATGAAGAACCCTTGACGAACCCAGAACCTAGGTTACGCAAGGTTCCTTGAAGAACCCAATTTCTGGGTTCCTCGTGGAACAAAC